AAAAACAAGAAAGAAGGAGCATTTAACTCAGGAAAAATAATGAGCTGTGAAAACACTAGGCTTTTAAATCAATTTGCAAATCACTGTTTTCAAGAACACAAACACCCTGGTTTTTATAAGTCAGGAACAACAGCATTAATTAAAAGAGCACAGCGTTCTAAACTGCCACCTACTGGATGCAAATTTCTAACGCAGATTCCCTTTTTTTATATCGATTTTCTGATGCTTTTTTTTAATCTCAAAATATCTCAAAGCTGTTTATTTGCTTGGCTTAATTAACTGAGCCCAGTCTTAGAAAAGTCAGCGTCGTCATTTTCTTTTCATAGTTGCAGAACCACATACAGATAGTCCTGGACTTACAAAACCAGTCGTTTTAACAACAATTCAAAGTGATGACGGCAGTGAAAAAAAAATTGCCTTTTGATTGGCACTTATGAACATTACATCACCCCGATAATCACGTGATCAACATTTTGGCACTTGGCAACCAGCATATACTTACAATGGTCCTGGGGTCACATGATTCCCCATTTGTGACCTTCCCAGGGGGCCTCTAACAAGCAAAGTCAATGTTGGGGGGGAACTGGATTTACTTAAGGACCACAATAATTTACTTAATGGCAGCAACAAAGAAAAGGTAATTAAATCCGGCATGATTCACTTAATCACTGCATTGCTTCCCAATGCAAGTTCCAATTCCAGTTGTTGTTGTAGGTCAAGGACTACCTGTAGATATCTAGTGCTACTTTTTTTTCTGGGCAGGCAGAAATCCTGCGGGTTCAGATCTTTCCAACCTGGTGGTTCAGAGATGGAGCACCAGTGAGATGGTAGCTGCTACCTTAGAACAGAGGGCAGAGTTGGTATTGTCGGTTTTGCAATGTGTTTAGAAAAAGCCTTAAGCGGCTACAAGTAGTCCTTGACTTACAACCATTCTGTCATGCCCCTGTTGGAATCTGATTCTAAGGGGGAGGTTGAGCAGCTGACAGGGAGTGGGAGTGTGGCTCCAGTGGCTGTGGAGGAAACTGGGGAAGGTCACAGTCCGGCTGGGCATTCAGAGGAAGACCCAGGGCCACCCCCTCTTCATCCTAGGGCACGCAGGGAGGAATGGAGAAGGGAGCAACGTGAGTTACATGGGTTATGGGGGAGAAAAGGGCCCTGATTCCCCTCATTAGCTACAGCTGGGGAAACAGGATTTAAAAAGGGCGTTTGTGCACAGCACCTTGCTGGAAGCAAAGCGTTAATTATCTTTGTTTGTCAAGTCTTATCTGGGTTCTGGCACCCTCCCAACTGTGCTTATCTTTTGAAGTCTGCAATTCCTTATCCTGCCCTGTCTCGTTAATTGCTGCAGCGTGGTTTGTGTTGGTTTTTATTTATAATTTATATGTACTTTGGGTTCGGACTGAATTTCTTCCCTTTAAAAACTGTTCTTGGGAGAGTTTTTTTTTTCTCCAGCTGATGATAACTGGACATTGGGGGCCAAGTTGGAGGTATTAATGGGACTTTACCTACTTTTGTGACTTTGTTCCTTTTGTGCCACGCCCCAGGTCATCACACATTCATTTAGTGACCGTTCAAAGTTACAATGGCACTGAATAAAGCGACTTATGATCATTTATCACAGTTACAACCGTTGCAGCATCCCCCATGGTCATGTGATCAAAATTCAGGCGCTTGGCAGCTGACACAGATTTATAACAGTTGCTGTGTCCCAGAGGTCATTGTGATCCCTTCTTGCAATTTTCTAGCAAGCAAAATCAAGGGGGAAACCCAGATTCACTTAACAACCAGGTTACTAAGTGAACAACTGCAGTGATTCACTTAACAACTGCAGCAAGAAAGGTCAATAAAATGGGACAAAACTCACTTAACAAATGTCTCGCTTAACAACATTAATTTGGGCTCAATTATGGTCGTAAGCCAAGGACTACCTGTATTGCCTAGCTGTGTTTTGTGCTTTCTTCCTCCTTCCTGTCCTTCTGAGCTAGCTTTCTCCAAATGGAGTGGGACTAGAGTTCTCCATATCCCAAACCACCATAGTATTGTTCCCACGAAATTCTGGGAATTTAATTCAAAGGCACTCACGCTGGACACAGTTTAAATGGTGGAAATCAAACTTAACATGAATAGCTTGTCTCATGGTTTAATCAGGGTTTGTGGATTAAATTGCAATTGGAAAGGCTCACACATGGGAAGCCGTTTATCATTCAATTTCACAAAATGTGTCTCATTTCTCCAGTTACAAAATGATCGTTTTCTATCAGATGTTTTTTTAAAAAATGTTACATACAAAGCATGTTTTTAACAGTGGTTCTGAAGTCTGGGGGAGGCACCGGAGGTGGCATTCAGCAGGTTCTGACCAGTTCTGGAGAACCAGTAGTGGAACTTTTGAGTGGTTCAGAGAACTGGCAAATGACACCTTTGACTGGCCCTGTCCCCATCTCTTCTCTGCCTCCTGAGTCCCAGCTGATTGGCTGGGTCTTCTTTGGTTGCCCTGCACAGGAGAACGGAGCTGGAAAGCAGGTTAGTGGGGCGGGGAGGGAATGGGGATTTTGCAGTATCCTTCCCCTACCACACCCACCAACCCACGCCTACCAAGCCACACACACAGAACCAGTGGTAAAAAAAATTGAATCCCACCATTGAAGCAGACCCACCAATAAAATGGATCCTAGAACAGGAATAGAAAGAGGCTACCAGAAAGAGGGGAATGCAAGAGGATTCATTGTGAGACAATGGATTGATTACACCCCATTCCAGATAGATCTTTCAATTCATTCATTGATCATCACCCTGCTTTTTCATCCCTCCAATAATTGTTATAACCCCAATAATTCCCACCAAGGGGGATGATAAAGGTAAAAAAGGAGCCTGTATGAATTTTACTTCACTAGTCATTGCCGACTATAGGGGGCAGTGCTGATCTCCATTTCAGGGCCATTGAGCCAACGGTGTCCATGCAGTCATGTGGCCAGCATGACATCACGGAGCGCTGTTACCTTCCCACTGAAGTGGTACCTATTTATCTAATCGTGTTTGCAATCCTAAATTGCACTGACAGAGGGATTCAATCAAGATCACATGAGGTACTCATACCACTCTATAAAGACCACACCTAGAATACTGTATCCAATTGTGGTCACCACACTACAAAGAAGATGTTGAGCCTCTAGAAAGAGTGCAGAGAAGAGCAACCAAGGTGATTAGGGGACTGGAGGCTAAAACATATGATGAACGGTTGCAGGAACTGGGCTTGGCTAGTCTAGGGAAGAGAAGGACCAGGGGAGACAGGATAGCAGTCTTCCGATATTTGAGGGGCTGCCACAGAGAGGAGGGGGATCAAGCTCTAAAGCACCTGAAGCCCAGACAAGGAATAATGGATGGAAACTGAACAAGGAGAGATTCAACCTAGAAATAAGGAGAAATTTTCTGACACTTAGAGCAATCAACCAATGGAACTTCTTGCCTTCAGAAGTTGTGGGAGCTTCATCACTGGAAGTTTTCAAGAAGAGACTGGACTGCCATTTGCCAGAAATGGTGCAGGATCTCCTGCTTGGGTGGGGGGTTGGACTAGATGACCTACAAGGTTCTATTTTATTCTAGGTTGCAGGAGCTGGGGCAAATATGAGAGTTCACCCCATTGTGTGGTGCTCGGGTCTCAAATCTATGTTGCCAGCTTTCCATCCAATAAGTCCAACTTCTTACCACCCGGCCACCCTCTCAAGGTGGATGAAGACACAAATTTCTGTGCTACTGTACAGTACAACTGTCTTGAGAAGCAGTGTAGGAAGAGTATTGATAGCATTACACTGGTGTTGGAGAGGACTCTGAGAAATATCCTGGACAGTCAAGAAAACAAAATGATGAATCATCAAACAAAACAGTTCAGATTTCCTGCTTGAGGCACAAATGACCAAGGTCAAATTATGCTACTTCAAACAGGTTGTGTGAAGATCCAACTCTTGAAAAATGGCCCAGTGGGGTGTTAAGGTGGAAGGAAAGAGGACAACAGCAGCAAAGTGGGTGGACTACGTTACAATGCCCGAAAGGTGCTTTTTCCAAAAGGCAACCGGACTTGCTTTGTTTTTCCTTGAAGACATTTCTCATCCACGAAGTTTCTTCTGTTCAGAACTGGAGAAACTTCTTGGATGAGAAGCAAAACACGTTCAAGGAAAAACAAAGAAAACCCAGTTGCCTTTGGAAAAAGCACTTTTGGGAGAACCATGACCTGGATAACTGAGAATCTCCATATAAACTGGTGATGACAAGTGCCCTGTGGGAAAGCTTTGAAAACCAGGGATTACCTTGAAGCAAACTTTTCTGTCTAGGTGGTTCTGAGGATTGAGAACAACTTGATGGAACATAATCAATCAATCAGTTTCTCCCTTGCAATCTCTTGCCCTGCTGGCTACCAAGCTATGCTGGAGGGCTCCAGACCTTGGAAGTCTGCTTTGAAAACTTTTCCATAAAAGTATTTTGCTTGTTTGTTTGTTTGCATGTCCTCCAGCTTCGGAATTCCCCCAAGCTCTGTTGCCAAGACTCTTACACAGAGGTCTCCAAAGTTGGCAACTTTAAGATTTGTGGATTTCAACTCCCAGGATTTCCACCAAGGGAGATGATAAAGGTAAAAATTCTGGGAGTTCAAGTCCACAAGTCTTAAAGTCGCCAAGTTTGGGGACCCCCTGCTCTTATAGGTGAGCGGGCTCTCCGCCAAAATTCCGAATCGGAGAGACGACGCCTCAGATGAGATTCCTCTGTGCCGTCGAGCATGCACAGAGTTCCTTCCGGAACCTCTTCCCTCACTGCAAGATATGCTGATCTTTCTCGCTGCCCTGACAGTGCCCCGAGGGCAACCGAGCGCCCGCGATGGCCGGCGGCGCTGCTTCCCACCCACCCCCGCCTCCCCGCCGCCCCAATCCTATCCCCGAGAGGGCTCGCCTGCCTTCCGGAGCGGCGTGTCCTTCCAGGCAGATCGTGCGTCACGTGGCCCAGGTAAAGGAGGGAGGGGCCCCAGACGCGGTTCACCTGGCTGGGCAGGTAATGCCAAGGCGGGGCTGGGGGGCAACGATTTCCCAGGAGGTGGAGGGGGGCAGAGAGAAAGGCGACCCTCGGTGTCGGGGAAAGGTGAGCTCGTTCCCTCCCCAGGGACTCCGGAGCGGCTGGAGGCCTTCCGCCAGGAAGTCGAGGGCAGGCCTGGCCCAGGTAGCGCTTGGGGTGACACTTCCCCCTTGGATGCTTCGCTCCCTTCCTCCGCCTGTGCAGCATTCCCACCCCCGGCTCAGTTTTTTGGGACTCTTCCGTCGCTGCCCTTCCCCCCCCCCCCCCCGGAAGATCCCTCTGGGCAGGAGATCGGAGGCCAGGCCAACTCCGAAGGGCTCGGCCAGCGAAAGTTTGACGTTTGCACCGCCGAGGGCTGCCGGCGCTGCGGACCAGGTAAACTCTTGTGTTTTGTCTTGTCTTGTGTAAAACTCAAGAAATGTTTTCAGCCCTCGCCTCCACCACCCCGCCCCCAAAAAATAATAATAATCCCTAAATTCGACGTCCTAAAGTCGGTTTGATCCCACGGCAGGCTTTCTATCCAATGAATAGGATAGGTTGCATTCTTACCTGTAGACAGTTTGTTGGGATCTAGGAGTTTAGCTACTCCGGGAACGGTGACGTACCCCCCCAAAAGTGAAAAGGGGGAATGGTCCGATAGGCAGTTCAGTCTTGACAGGGAAAAATAAACAGCCCCCCCCCCTTTTTTTTCCTGTCCAGATGTTTTGGACTTCAACTCCCAGAAGCCCCAACCAGCAGGGCCAGCAGCAAGGGAATGTAGGGGTTATAGTTCGAAAAATCTGGAAGTCACCCAGTTGCCTTTCTTTCACAAGGCTGAGGTGCCTCTCAGGCCATTTCTTCAGAAGGGTTTCATTTGCATGTTTGATTAATGAATGTTATTGATTTGAAAGTTTAGCTAATCTGATGGAAGACTGTCTGCACACAGCTCTTCATAATGCTACAGGTCAGGCCAGCTTATCAACACTCTGTAATATACCGTATGTATCCACCCACTTTCTTTTCAACCAGTGACTGGAACTTGATTTGAACCTTAAGGAGACCTCCACCCATACATTTACAAGAGACTTCCTCAATGGAAAAGCCAGCTACTCAATCTTGTCTTTCCATTCAGCAGAGTCCTGTATTAAAAGAGTTCAAATAATATATTCTTATTTTATTTACAAAGACAACATGACCAAAAAGAAGAGACATCTCTTCTCAAGTATTAGGTCATGGTTGATTATTGAGAAACATGGCTTTAAATATTGGAAAAGTTGTGTGTGTCTTTTAGTAGGAGTAATAGGGGGATCAGAAGTATGATTGGGAAGTAACAGGAAATTAGTGATGGGTGGGGGCAATTCCCACAGGGAGTTTGTTAAAATGACACATAAGTTCATTCAAGTGATTTGGGAAAGGTTTGCAAATGTGAGCCAACTCAGATTTGTTCAACACAATATTGGTAAGTCACCTGTTTGTGTTCTAATGCAAAATATTAGCATAGAGGTTTATTATTCTTGGCTGTTATGCTTTGGACTTAACCTTTTAACCATATTAAGCATTATGTTACATAATGAAGCCTTATATCAGCCTCTTATGAAGTATTATTCTCAATGCACCTCTAACGTGAATTTACTCATTCCTTTCCTGTACAAAGAAATGAGATATTTATAGGATTATTCTACAAGAAGGAAAAAATCATGAATTTGTTCATCAGTTCACAGTATGAAAATAAATGTACTGCTGCCATCTAACACATTTTAATATGTTAGCCAGTCTGTAGCAAAAGCTTACAAAATATTAAATCCTATTAAAAATTTGGAAGCTATTGCCAGTCAATACTTTAATCCAAACAAACTATATGATGATTTAGTGTGATCCATGATTCTATTACATTTATATTTTATTATGAAATTTATTTCCTGGCCATCTCATATATAATGACCCTTGGGGGCTTACAGCATAAAACATATATATTTGGTATGACCTAGAAAATATGGATTTATCAAGGTTTCTTGATTAAATGACCCAAACTCTGGAAAGGGGTTGACATTTGCAGTTCTTTACCATGAAATCAACTGGACTAGAGCATTACTTCTCAAATAGATTTTCTCCTGGTCCGCTTTGTTTGTATCCTACCTTTATTACTTTTACAAATAACTCAAGGTGGCAAACATATCCAAATAGGAGCTTCTTCCTCCTATTGTTCCCACAACAACAGTGAGGTGAGCTGGGTTAGGGTTGGTGTGTGACTGGCCCAAGTCACCCAGCTGGGTTTCATGCCTAAAGCAGGACTAGAACTCAGGTCTCCTGGTGATTGGCTCAAAGTCACCCAGCTGGCTTTTGTGGATAAGGTGGGGCTAGAATTCCCGGTCTTCCACTTTCTAGTCTGGTGCCAAACTGCACAATTTTGCATTCATCTAACTCAGGGATCCCCAAAGTTGGCAACTTTAAGACTTGTGGACTTCAACTCCCAGAATTGAAGTTGAAGTCCACAAGTCTTAAAGTTGCCAACTTTGGAGATCTCTGATCTAACTAAAGGAAACCTAAGCCTTATTCGTGAATAGTTTGGTAACATCCAAATTTTATTAATAGATTATTATATCACCTGAGCTTTGTTGCCTGTGTGCACACACGTTGAGCCTTGATGCAAAATGCTGATTGTCTTTAAAGCCTTCTCAACTTGAATGCGGCTATCAGACAGACCCTCCGCTTCCCCGAATTTTCCTCTGCAGGAGATTAAGCTGGCTCCCCATTTCACACTAAGCCATCATTTCATCTCATGTAGCACATATGGAAATTCAGCCACTGTGGTTGCCAAACCATAATTATTGACTTAGTATGCAAGGGTGAAATTTGGCCTGTGTAAACCAGGACACTTTAACTGATTTAACATGCAAGATTAAAAGGAAAACCTGTGGCTGGATGTAAGAGCTGAACGTGGCCCAAACAGCTTGTTCGGATGTGTTCACTTGTTTGGTGTCCTCAGATTGAGCTGTGATTGCTCTCACACCACTAGTATAGAAGTAACATTCAGCTGGCATGGCCAAGCAGCTTCTGTGTGTGTGTGTGTGTGTGTGTGTGTGTAGAAGGTGAAGAGTGAACCAGCTGGTCAGTGGTGGGGTTCAATTTTTTTTACTACCAGTTCTGTGGGTGTGGCTTGGTGGGCGTGGCAAGGGGAAAGATACTGCAAAATCTCCATTCCCTCCCCACTCCCAGGGGAAGAAGATTACTGCAAAATCTCCATTCCCTCCCCACCCCACTAACCTGCTTTCCAGCTCCATTCTCCTGTGCAGGGCAACCAAAGAAGACCCAGCCAATCAGCTGGGACTCAGGAAGCAGAGAAGAGTTGGGGGCGGGGCCAATCAGAGGTTGGATTTGCCAGTTCTCCGAACTACTCAAAATTTCTGCTACTGGTTCTCCAGAACTGGTCAGAACCTGCTGAATATCACCTCTGCAGCTGGTCCTTCATGTCTTGGGAAAGCAATGAAAATGTTTCTAAACTGAAATTACAGTATTTCAGTTAATTCACTGCGTTTAGCTCTGGTGCAAAAATTTTCTTCTTTGCCCTCCTACATATGCAGGCTTGCATAATGGCCAGTTTCTAGCAGCATACATAACCCCGTCCACAGCATGCAATTGGTATGTCCAGATAATGTGCTAACCCTTACAGATATTCCTCAACTTACGACCACAATTGGAACTTCAACTTCCACCACTAAGTGAGTCATCATATGACCATGTCTGATTTTATATGACCTTGTTTGCCGCAGTTGTTAAGCAAATTGTGTGACTTTGTCTACTGACTTTGCTTGTTGGGAGGGGCCTGGGACGGTCACAGATGTTGATCACATGACCCTGGTAAACTGGAACCATCAGAAATACATGATGGTTGCCAAGCACCCACATTTTGATCATGTGAGTGCAGGAAAACTTTGATCATAAGTGGGTGGACGAGTAAATAAGTCACTTTTTTTTAGCACCGTCATAAATTTAAATGATCCTTAAGTAGGTTGTTTATGATGTAGTTAACATGATGTCCTGGATCCCATAGCATGCTAAGATAATGCCTGTGTGTTGTCACAATGCTCTGAATCCACAAAGGATTAGGATTAACCCAGTTTGGCATATTGTGTGAATGTAGTCACTGCAGTTATATCACCAGTTTTGGAGATTATTTAGAAAATGGGAAATGTTTCAGAGTATAGTCTGATAGTGCTTTAAACCTACATGGCTGCTTAACTCTGCACCTCCATTAAATGTGCCCTTGGAGGATCAGGGTATTTGCTTAACTATTATTTTTTAACTGCCTCTGTTTGTAGGTGTTTTGCAGGCTGCTAGGTTCTTTGGATGCCCAAGTGACAAATATATTTTAAAATGTCTCTCTTGCACTCCCCTTCCTGCCTCCAGATCAGGTTCTGTTGCCCTTTCACACAGTGCTGGAGGTATATGGCCCATAGTTCAGGAAAAGCAAGACAAAATACAACTGAGCAATAAGTGATGACTTTAGTGTGTGTGTGTGTATGTATGTGTGTGTGTGTTTTATGTGTGTGTGTGTGTGTGTATGTGTGTGTATAAAAAATCATCTCTGCAGTGGTGGTAGCTTTGCCAATCGATGTTGGAAGTGATTAAAAGGAGGTGAGTGGATCAAATCTTCACTCCCCCCCAGAATCTGGTGCTCTGCAGATATGCTGAGAATTGCAATCTTTCTAATTAAAAATTCTGGAAAATTCAACAGAGTGGTCAATGTCTGGAATACTCTACCTGACTCTGTGGTTTCTTCCCCAAACCCCCAAAACTTTAACCTTAGACTTTCTACTATTGACCTCACCCCTTTCCTAAGAGGTCTGTAGGGGGCATGCATAAGCATACCAACGTGCCTACCGTCCCTGTCCTGTTGTTTCTTTAATTTTTCTTATATGTACTCATTTCTTGTATTCATAACTATGTTTATCCTTATACCTATTATCTTGTAAGCGATTGACAAATAAAATAAAATAAATAAAATAAAATAAAATAAAATAAAATAAAATAATAAAATAAAATAAAATAATAAAATAAAATAAAATAAAATAAAATAAAATAAAATAAAATAAAATAAAATAAATAAAATAAATACAATAAATACAATAAATACAATAAATAAATAAAATAAACATTGCCAGATGCCAGGTGGCACAGCAAACATAGCCTATTTGTCTTGCAAAAATGGCACTCTTTCCTCCCTCTTAAAAAGGTGTTTTTCAAAATTTCACCAGGTTTACAGTTTATTTGGGAATGGCAGGCAGAATTCCTAAAGACAACTGGGGAGGAGAGAGGGGGGAGGGAGAGAGAGGGGGGGGGTTAATAGTACTGTAGCATCTGCCTTGTTGCCTCATAAACTTTCCAATATACATAGA